TACCTCCAGTAATGGAAAATTAAAAAAGCAGAAGAAAAAAAGAAACAAACAAATTTGACATCTGAGCCCACCTAAAAACAGTCTTAAGTTCTCTGTAATTTTTTTTTTTTTTATGGTATTGAGGATTTAACCCAGAGGTACATTATCGTTGAGCTATATCCCCAGCCCTTTTTATCTTTTGAGACAGGTCTCAGTAAGTTGCTGAGGCTGGCCTTGAACTTGAAATCCTCCTGCCTTAACCTCTCCAGCTGCTAGGATTACAGGCGTGTGACACTGCATCCATCTGGGTCTCTATTTCTTATCTGAGGTTATAATATACTCACATGTCTCCCTAAACTATTAATAGAGGTTTTCTCCTGGTGGATGATTATGTGGGTTTATTTATTTATTTTTTTTAATGGTACTTACTTCTGTAATGCTGTATCACTGACATTTAAAAAAAAAAAAAAACAACAACATTGTGAATGTCTTTCTTTGGAAGGAATCAGGTTGAAGAGCAGCCCCTAGTCCCCTTCTGTCCTAGTTTAGTCTGAAAAAGGTACTGATATATAATTCTTCTCTCTCATAAGCTTTTCATCACTTGCTTCCGATGATTAAATCTAAGTTATTTGAGGAAAAAATAGCAATTATGAATTATTTTTATCATTAGAAAACACAGTGACAAATCTGAAGAGGGTATTACTCTATTTTATGTTGGAGGATAGAATAGTAAAGCTGATAGCTAGTAGCAGAATTCAAACCTAGATCTCTTCACTCCCAAAATTCTGTTTTTAACAAGGATGCCATATTGACTCCTTTTTATGTACTACCATGGAAAGCTCTTATCAACTCTGAATTTCTCTTCCTTCCTGGTGGTAGCAGCTGGTTGCCCAGAGCCAGAGGCCCCTAAGAAGGCAAAAGAATGGTTGGTGTATGCAGTCATCATTACCCCTGGAAAAAAATTTTATACATAAGTAAGGCATGCCCATAAGTAGATGGCCTGTTTGAAAAACTAGCCTTCTGTTTCTTCATCTGACAAATGGGGTCAGTAACTCTGTTTCCACTGCACGGTTCACAAAGCACTTGGCTATCTAGTCCTCGTTTGTTCCTTGTGGCAATCCTGAAAGTCGAGAGGCAACAGGTAAAAACCTTCAATTGCATGTGTGCAGATACAAAATTGAGGTGCAAAGAGCTTTGCTGTCTTGTCAAAAATGTGTGCAATAGCCTCCTGTGTGATTTTTTTGAGAGAATAGAGAAAGAAAAGATACACTTAGGGAAGCTCAGTGATCCATATAAGAAGAAGTCAAGTCCACAATGAGGAAGAGTATAGATTTTGGTCAGACAGCTGTGTTTAAATTCTAGTTCTGGTCAGGCGCAGTGGCATATGCCTATAATCCCAGCTACTCAGAAGACTGAGACAAGAAGATCACAAATTTGAGGATAGCCTGGTGAGACTCTGTCTCAAAATAAAAACAGCTGGGGATATAGCTCAGTGGTAGAGTACTCCTGGGCTCAATCACCAATAACATTAAGAAAACTAACAAGAAAACAGAGGTGGGGGGTGTAAGGATTTTATGAGAATTTAAAGGAATAATTGCAAAATGCCAGTACAGTGATTAGCATGTAGTCAGGAGATTCATTATTCAAGGTACAATGGCCTGGGTTCAACAAATTGAATAACCTAGGGAGACAATTTTTCATTTCTGTGCCTCAATTTCCTTAATCATATAATGAGAATAAATTAAAAATACCTATTCATGGGTTGTTAGGGGAGAAAGTAATTCATGAAAGTGCTTAAAACAACATCTGGTACTTGATTAAAAAACAAAAACAAAAACAAAAAAAACCCTCAGTTTTTGAGGCTGGGGCTATAGTTCAGTGGTAGAGTGCTTGCCTCCCACATTTGAGGCACTGGGTTTGATCCTCAGAGGGAGGGAGGGGAGGGAGGGGAGGGGAGGGAGGAAGGAGTTGTGTCAATCTACAACTAAAATAATAATAATTTTTTAAAAAAGCTCAGTTGTCTTATTTTATATTCATCCCCCATTCCCATTTTCCAAATAAGGAAACCTCAGAATAGAGAGGTTAATATATTTGCCCATGTTCAACAGCTAGCAAGTAACAGCTTCAAATGAAAGTCTAACTTCAAAGTCTATATGTGAATCCCTCCTCAGTCCCTTCCATCTTTGTATCCCTGTGGGACTTTGAGTCAGAGGCAAGTTCTACCTATTAGCTGTGTCATCTTGGAAAGGTTACTTAACCACCCCAAAGTTCAGTTTCTCTTTATAAAAATAATAACAGTAACTATCCACATAAGATTGATTCAAAGTAAAAATGTACATGTTTAGCAAAGTGCCTAGCAGTCAAGTACTCAATAAAAGTTAGCTGTCATTATTATAATTATTATATGTTCTTGCTACTTACACTTCAACCCCTGCAACTTGCTTCTGCCCTTATTATTCAGCAGTGTCACCAATACCTCTCTACCACAAGATACAGTAGACACCTTCAGTCCCAATCCGATCTGACTGCCCAGCAGTATTCAATATTCTTTGGAGACACACTATTCTCTCACCATGCCATCCACTCCTCTGGTTTTCTTACTACCTCTTAGTTCACTCCTTGGCCATTCTTAAATATTTATCCTCTCTCTAGACCACGGTCTCTCATCATTGACATTATGGGCTAGATAATTCTTTGCTATGTAGCTGTCGGGTTTTCCCCTGCTCTCCTTTCTATTCCCGATGCCTGGCACAGAATAGGTTCTCGGGAGCACTTGCTGAAGAAATTAAGATTGGATAATCTGGCTTGTTCATTTCACATTTTCATCATTAAAATGTCTCACTGCTATCCCTGCCCCAGAGCTCACAATCTAGGGGTGAAGGCGAGGCACATGTTAAGAACTGCTTACAGTACAAGAATCTCTCTCTCTCATCATAAAAACAACTCTGAGATTGGTTGATGCTAGTACTTCTTTTAATTTTCTCCTCTCCTACAATTCCCAAGTTTCATCAACTTAACTCTTCTCTCCTTTATGCATGAGGAGACTGAGCCAAAAGAATGTCTTTGGCCTTCTTTACATTACAAATAATACTTGGTGCTCTTTTCTTATAAATACTTAGCAAACTACTATTCAACCTTTGACACTCACTTCAAATATCACATCACATCTTTAGTGGGGCACCTGTAATCCCTTATATTTAGGAGGCTGAGGCAGAAGGATTACAAGTTTGAAGCCAGCCTGGGCAGCTTAGACCCTGCCTCAAAAACAAATTAAAAAATAAAACAAAAAAGGCTGTAAATGTAGCTCAGTGGTAGAGCACTTACTTAGCATGTTCAAGGCCCTGGATTCTATCCCCAGTACTGCCCTCCCCCCCAAAACTAAACTCTTTAATGAAGCCCTCCCAGAACAGAATACCCAAGGGTTTATTACAGATTCCACACTATCTGTAGCAGTTTATACATATCTCTCATAGTACATCTGTTCATGTTACTACTGAAACAGACTGAAAGCTCTCTAGGGAAAAAGCAATTCAAGTATTTTAATATCTATTAAGTATCAGACACAATAGGTTTAAGAAGGGTGAAGGGAAGTATTGCCCAGACAGGAACAGCAGGTACTTGGGCATAATGGTTAGAGGCAGAGACCCTAGAATCAAATTGCCTGAGTGTGAATTCAGACCCCACCCACACTTACTAGTTTTGTTAACTCTGAGCAAGTCATTTAACCCACTTATGCTGCAGTTTCCTCATGTCAGAAACAAGGACAAAAACAGTAACACTGTGTGAGCATTAAATGGTTCATCACCATAAAATGCTTACAACTGTGCCTGGAGCACAGCAACAGCTCAACCTGTGTTAGACACTCTCCTAAATACCTTTGTTTCCCTGACAAACTGTAAGAAGCTCAAATAATTTGCTCTAGTATCCACCATAATCACGGATCAGAAGAGAGGAGAGGAACATGTAAACAAATACTTGTATACACGTTTCTAAATATCCTAACAGTCTTTCAACCCTAAAACAGCATTCACGCTGGGCGCGGTGGTGCACGCCTGTAATCCCAGCAGCTTGGGAGGCTGCGACAGGAGGATCGCGAGATCAAAGCCAGCCTCAACAAAAGTGAGGCGCTGAACAGCTCTCTAAATAAATACAAAATAGGGCTAGCATGTGGCTCTGCAGTCAAGTACCTCCGAGTTCAATCCCCGGTCCCCCCCCAAAAAAACAAAACAAAAACAGCATTCACTTCCAGGATTAGAGGGAAAGGAAACAGTCTTTTAATTCCCTTTTCTGTGATCTCGGCTCATTTTGTGCTGTTAACTCACAACTAGCTGCAGCCTGGTGCGAACCTCAACCAGCTCGCCTGCATCTCCAGGGATCTCTCTGCACCCAAACACCATGTCCTGCACAGAAACGTTCTCCTCAGACGACCAACCCCTTCCTTCTTGTCCTTACGATCACAGCGTTAGCCACTTTTCCCTTGATTACTCAAGTAACCCCCAAGGATGGGGTCGTTGTTCCTATTTTTCAGACAAAGAAGTTGAAGCTCAAAAAAGGAAAAATGCTCCAGGTTCAAACCCAAGCAGTTAGGTCTAGGTCGGGTCTATTGACCCGAGCCGTAAGCAGGAAGCAGACAGGACCAGGGCCTGACGCTCGCAACCCCCACTCCCGCTTTCTCTCTCTCCCGGTCCCTGCGCCATCAAGGACTCTTCCTGGCAATCCAGGGAGCCCAAGCCAGACTTTGACGCATTACCCCATAAAGCTCCAGACCTTGTCGGGTCTGTATACCTGAGGTAGCCGCCGCCATCTCGCGTCGCCTCAGCAGCGAGGAGGACCCAGCAACCATTCCACTCCCTCCTTCGGGCCCGCCTCTCCCATTCGAATTGCCCGGTGACCCGCCCCTCTCCCAGGATCCACCAATCACGGCTACTCGCTGCCGGAAGCCTCTGCCTGTGATTAGTAACTAATCCGCCTTCTAGAGCTGGTCTGTGGGTCCCGCAAGTAAAAGTTTCCCCTGGCGGAGGACGCATGCGCACGCACATCGGCCGCGCAGCCGTTAACTTCGGGCATGCGCTCGGGCGCGAACCCGGATGCAAAAGGCATAGAGGACAGTGGCTGATGCCGGTACTGGGAACCGAGCCCGGCACCACCTTCAGGCCTTCAGGTTTCCAGGCATAGATTTGCGTGAGTATTTTCTTCTCATTTTTTTTCCCTCCTCAGCTACGAATCAAGTAGACAGTGATCCAAGGCACTTGATCGATTCCTCCAGAAATGTCCTTGTGCTGAATACAATTTTCACTATTTTAGAGGTGATTATAGGTAAGAAAGGGAAACAGGACAATTCTGTAAACGATGGCAGTGATCCTCACTTTGTACATTTTATTGCCTCAGAAGTTGTTTCACACGTCTGTGTGGTGGGGGTGGTTTTGTTAATTGTGGGAGTTAAGGGTGCCGCAATATCCAGTCAGTTTTATAGATCTGGACCACCCTGTGTTCTGGACAGTCACATTGTATTCATCTCTTGCTGATCCCAAGGCCACTGTATGTCCCCTTGTGTCACATGTCTGAGCTGAGGAGACCAGCTCAATGGAGATTAGCTCGATGTCCTTATTTTAGAAGTTGGCACATCGAAGTGAACTTTATGTAAATCTTTACTTGTTACTCCCAAAATGTATCCTTAGGGGTTCAACAGTCTTAAGTAGTTTTCCATCTCTTCTGGAAGCTTATCCAGGGATGACCATCCCATCAAAAATACCGTTTAGGGATGAGGATATAGCTTAGTTGCTAGAGTGCTTGTCTCACATACACAAAGCCCTGGGTTCAATCCCCAGCTCTGGAAAAAAAAAAAAATATATATATATATAGTTTAAAGTGAACAGGAAAATTACCCAAAACAGATCCAGTGGGCCACAGGAGAAGAGAAGTGGAAGTCCTCACACCGAGATAGTGGTCATTTCGGCTTCTGAAACCAGGCTCCCCACCACAAGCTTCCTGCCCTATCCTAGCTGCTGTTCTGGCTTGAACAACCCCTACTTGCATACCTACCTATTAGAAGCCAGGACCACTTTGTAACCTGATCTCCTGCACTGCCTTATCTCCTTGTAACCGGATCTCCTGCACTGTGCTGTAACCCCACTGTTTGGGTCCCAGAATTTTCAAGTGTGAGCTCATCTGTGTCCGCTAGCATAAATAAACCCAAGTTCTCCTACTTCAAGTGTCACTTGGTTTCTTGTCAGTCTATTTTTCCACATTTCTTGAGGCACCAGCAAGATTCCAACCATTCTGATTCCTCGAGCCAACAGCCAGTGGCTGGACTGCACTGAGTAGGAAGGGACTCATTAGGTGGTGCACCACCCATAGGTATTCTAGTTCCTTCTTCACCCTGGAGTGCCAACCCTCCAGGCAGCCTTGCCCCAACCAGACTCCAACGGCAACTCCAAGAAGAAATCTACCAACTCACCTGGCAACTCGTCCGGACCCAGTAAGACCCTAGAAAAGTCAGTCCCCAGTCAGGTCCCATCCCACTGGGCGGAAGGGGAGCTTGATCAGTCCCCAAAAGAAACTCTACAGGTCAGGGACCTCCCAAAGTGGGGAGGAAATCCAATAACCTTTGATGTGTGAATGTGTGGATGAGCGATCTGATTTGCTGGCATCTCAGATTTGAGTTTGTTGCTCCATGGCAGAAAGCTACAGAGTCTGAATGGGTCTGTTCTGCAATTCCACGGTGGCCCTCATGTAGCTTAAGGTGGCATCTGGGCAACCGGATCCAGAGTCATGAGGCTGACCCCACCATTGATGCTAAGAGGCACCTAAGTTCTTTTTGAAGGCAGCCAGGCAGACATCTGGTTGGTCTCTTCTCTTGAAGGGGCACCCTCCCTTGTTTGTCTTTGTATCACCAATTCAAAGAGGGGAACACATAGGGTGGGAAATAGAGAGCACTACCTGACTACCATGGGTGGAAGTTCCTTGAAACCTTAGACTTAAAAATTTCAAGAAGGGATTCTCAGGAGACTATGGGATCAAATGTCTCCAGGAAAGTTGCACACACTGTGCAAATTGGAATGGCCCTCTGAAGAAGTACTGTTAGGGCCGTCTATCAGGTTGTAATAGGGATCCCCAGATACCCAAATCAGTTCCACTGTATCCTGGCTTCAGATAGCCCAAAGCGTGCCTCCTTGGGTCTGATGTGCTAACAAAAAGGGACAAAGCAGCTTTTTTTTTTTTAACCTGCAAATGCCATGATTTTATTCTCTTTTAATGCTGAGTAATATTCCATTATGTATATATATACTACACTTTCTTTTTTTTAATTTTAATTTGTTATATATGACAACAGAATGCATTAAAATTCATATCACACATATAGAGCACAATTTTTCTTATCTCTGGTTGTACGGGCAAAGCAATTTTTGTGGCCCAGGTAAAGAATCCCAAAGACCATGAGCTGATCAAGCTTGTTTTGCAAGAGGACCCAGAGGATGAGCCAGCTGTGCTGCCCCCCAAACGCTCCTAGCATGCTGCCACCATCGAGGCAACCAACACTGCATCTCCCAGACACCCTGCTGCCTTCAGTGAGTCCCCCTCAACCTTTTCAGCAGCTTCCCAGTCCAGACAGCACCCCAAGCTCTCCTCTGGCCTGGAGGCCAAGTCCACAGCCCATGAGGCAATGCCATTGTTCATCCCAACACCATCCCCTTTGACTGTGACCCTCAAGATGCCACTCCAGGAAATGCAGGGGCTACCACAGATAAATGGGACAGACAGCATTGTCCAGCCCAGGTGCTCTATCCTGTATTACCAATCTTTTAGTACCACAGATCTCCTAAACTGGAGACCCTACACACCATCCTATTCAGAGAAGCCCCAAGCCATGATCAGCCTCCCAGAGACCATATTTCAGAACTACCAAGCTACTTGGCATGATTGCCACCAGATCCTTCCATATTTCAACATGGAAGAGTGACAATGAATCTTGACAGATGTTCACAGCTGGCTCCAAGGGGAAAGCCCCAGCAGGAACCCTAGATGCAGAAGCTTGGGCAACTGAGGCATCCCTGATGCTTGGCCTGCCTGGGACTTCATTATAGTGGATGGACAAGGAGCCCTCAGTCAGTACTGTGGTGCCCTCCTACAGGCTTGGCAGGAGCTAAAAAGCCAATAACACGTTCAAAACCGCAGCAGTTATCCAGAAACCAAAGGAGTCATCAGCTACTTCTACAAGAAACTGCGTGAGGTCTTCTGAATGTACACTCTTTTTGATTCAGAAACATCAGAAAACCAGTGAATGGTCAACATAGTGTTTGTGTGGCCCAACCTACACTGACATTCACTGGAAATTCCAGAAACTTGAGGGCTCGCTGGAATGAATGTCACCCAGCTGATAGAAGAGGCAAACAGGGTCTTTGTGAATCAAGACCATGAGGCTAAATGGGAAGCCAAAAAGAAAATGAAAATCAAGGTATCTTTATTGGCTGCAGCTCTAGCAAAATCTGACCAGATAGTCAGCCCCACCATGAAAGGGGGGACCCAATAGAAGAGCCCTGCTCTGACAAGACCACTGAGCCTATTGCAAGGAGACTGGCCACTGAAAGAATGAATGTCCTCATCATAAGGGACCAATATAAGGACCCAACAAGACTGCTCAGGGAAGAAGACAAAAATGGCAACCTAAACCAGAAACTAGAACCTCATTGGTCTGGCCAGAATCAAGGCAGACTAGGGAAAACCAGGCTCCTTACTACAGAGCCCCTGAGAACCCACAGTCAAAATGAAGGTGGGTAGCCAGTTAGTGACTTTCGTGGTTGATTCAGTCACTGAACACTCCATGGTCACTGTACCTGTGGCCCTACTCAGCACAGTAGTCGGTACCACCGGCACCTAAATTACCCAGCAGTTGTGTGAATCCTGGATATGCCAGCTAGAAGGACACATGGTGACTCACAAATTCTTGTACCTACCAGAATGCCCAATTCTCCTGCTGGGAAGAGACATACTAACAAATCTCAGAGCCCAAATCACCTTCACCCAGGGAGGGCTCACAAGTCTTACATTGAGGGAACCAAACATCCTTATCATGACAGGATTATACCTATAGAAGATGAATAGCAGCTTTACCTCCAGGAGAGGGGGAACCTGATGAAGCCCACCTGCCTGTTGGAGGAGTTTCCTGATGTCTGGGCTGAGAAAGGGCCCCCAGCTTGGCTCACAACCATAGACCCATAATGGTAGATCTCAAACCTGGGGCTCTCCCTGTTAGGCAGAGACAATATCCAGTGCCATGGGAAGTATGTCTGGGGATTCATGCCCACTTGCAGTGGCTTAAGGATGCAGGAATACTGGTTGAATGCCAGTTGCCGTGGAACACCCCACTGCTGCCTGTCAAGAAGGCAGGAAGAAGTGACTACTGACCTGTCCAGGACCTAAGGGCAATCAGCAATGCCTTTATCATGCTGCACCCAGTGGTTCCCAACCCCTATACTCTTCTGAGCCTCCTGCCACCATAAGCAAGCTGGTTCACCTGTCTGGACCTAAAAGACACTTTCTTCTGCCTCTACCTGACCCTGGCTAGCTAGCCTCTATTCACTTTCCAGTGGGAATACCCCCAAAGGGGGAAAAAAACCACAAATGACCTGGACTAGACTGCCTCAGAGATTCAAAAACTCACCCACCCTGTTGTGAGAAACCCTAGTAGCAGACCTGTCAACTTTTTTGAAAGAAAACCCAGGCTGTACCTTGTTCCAATATGTGAATGACATTCTCCTGGCAAGTCCCAACTTTGAGAAATGCTGGGAAGGAACAAAAGCATTGTTAGCCTGCCAGGCAGGCTACAGAGTTTCTTGGAAAAGGGCCCAATGTGCCAGCAAGAGATCCAGTACCTTGGGTTCATCATTTCCGAAGGATGACACACCCTAGGTCCAGAAAGAAAACAGGCCATCTGCTCCATTCCACAACCAAAGACTGAAAAGGATGCCTAAGAATTCTTTGGAGCAGCAGGGTTCTGCCGCATCTGGATACCTAGATATTCTAGCCTGGCCAAATCACTCTATGAAGTCACAGCAGGTTCTGAAAAGGACCCTCTGAACTGGAGACAGGACCAAGAAAAGGCTTCCCAAGAGGTAAAGAGAGTGTTTGAATCAGAGTCCTTACCCAAACAGTGGGTCCATAGCAGCGGCCTGTGGCCTACCTGTCAAAACACATGGACCCAGTTGCCTCAAGGTGACCACCATGTTTTCAGGCCTTGGCTGCTATGTATGGTAACCTTAATCGAGGAAGTCAAAAAGCACACCCTGGGATAGGATTAATGTTGAGATTTCCCATGCTGTCGTGGCACTAATGAATGGGCAAGGACACACATGGTTAACCTGTTCCAATGTAGCTCATTATCAAGGACTACTATGTGAAAACCCATGAGTCAGGTTTGAAATTCAAACCCTGCTATTGCAGGGAAACAGATGACCAGAAACAGCAAGCAGCACTCAGAGAGGAGAACTCCAAACTTTATTTTACACTGGCGGGCCCAGAGGAAAACAAAACTCCAAATTCTGAGCCCTGGTCCACAGTTTTTCACAATATTTATAGGTTATTTGACATCATCTTAGACCCATCCTATCACTGGGGCTTTCCTCTTTAAAAAAAAAAAAAAACAGTTCCTAATCTATGCAGCTGAAGACCCTGTGCAGGGTCTCTAACATAAAGGATGCTTACAGAAACAGATAAGAAAAACAGCTCTTTTCATAGGCATCTGTTACATTTCAAGACGGAGTAGTCAGATTCCTAGGGCAGTTATTTACAACCCAAAAGGTAGGGGCCCATGATTAATTAGGCTTCCTGGAGAGAGGGGAACAGAACTGACCCCTCCCCAGGTATTGGTTTCTTATTGTAATGTTTTTGTAATTTCATTTCATAACCAGGTCTGGTTTTGCCATCACACTGCTACTTTCCTGCCAACAGACAAAGGGCCTCCAGATCACAACTGTGAGGAAATGATGGATGGAGTTGACTCTAACAGACCAGACTTAATGGATGTCTCCCTCTCAGATTCGAAACTTGAACTCTTTCCAGATGGAAGCAGATTTGTCCAGAGAGGACAATGGAAAGCTGGGTTCACAGTCACTACTGCTAACGACATCACATAGGCTGAAGCCCTGTTGCAAGGATGGTAGACATAGCTAGCTCAACTTTGGGCATTGGCCCAGGCATTATGATGGG